CCACTTCATCTCTGAGCTTGATTCCTCATCTAAAACATGTGTGTGGTGGTGGGGGGAGGGGGAGAGACAGACACAAAGAACAAATGTTATAGGATTCCCTGTCTACATGAGGCATAGACTACAGGCCAATCCAGTGGAAGGAAGCAGCAAAGGAGGCAAGTGGAATGGGACTCATTGTTGAAGGGATATTGAGTTTCTGTTTGGGATGATAAAAAATTCTGGAAATGACTGGTGATGGTTAGACAACATTGTGAATGGATTTTGAAGCCATTTAAGGGCTGGGATGTAGCTCAGTATGAGAAAACTTGCTTAACATGTAAGGTGCCAGGGTTCAAGTCACAGCAAGGGAGAGGGGCAAACAAAAACAGTAATAAAGCAACATATTTGAAATGTTTGCTTCAATTTAAACACAAATCTGGTTACTATCGTTATTTTTCCGTCTCCTTTTTATTAAGACCCGTGAGGTGGATTCATCCCCACGCCATGATGCTGAGAAGCTGGCTGGGCACTACAGATGTGGGCAGTTTACCTAACATTTGTACAGAACCTTACTTAGACTTCTCCAATCTTTTTTTTTTCTTTCTTTTTTGGTCGGTCATGGGGCTTGAACTCTGGGCTTGGGCACTGTCCCTCAGCTCTTCAGCTCAAGGCAAGCGCTCTACCGTTTGAGCCACAGTGCCACTTCCCATTTTTCTAGTGGTTTATTGGAGATAAGAGTCTCACAGACTTTCCTGCCCGGGCTGGCTTTGAACCGTGATCCTCAGATCTCAGCCTCCTGAGTAGCTAGGATTACAGGCGTGAGCCACCAGCACCCGGCTGACTTCTCTAATCTTATCGTGCAGGTATGAGATTGGGTTTGGGTCTCACCACAGCCACATGAGGTAGGATACTGTCCCCATTTATACATGAGGAAACTGAGGCACAGACGAGCCACAAGGTTTGGCCAAGGTCATTCAAGTTGATAGCAGTTTGTTTTTGTTAACAGTCACTTGAAAAACAGCTTTACATGATAGTTGACTTGTTAAAACATCACTGGGCTCCCTAGCCTTTGAAGAAAGGACATATGTTATAAGTTAGAAGCAGGAGATCTCTTTCCCAGGGAAGACATGCTTGCTTTCCAGGACTGAAAGTGATAAAATCCTGATGTATTACTCCTTTCATCGTGCTACTAGGCAACTCAAGAGTGAAATTTAATTACATAACTATCAAATTACCTTAGGCAGATTTGGAAAACAAGCCATCTTGCTTTTTGGCTTTCTACTTTTGTTATTAATAGCATAAGACTAAGACTATTGTCTCTATGCTTTTGCTTTTTTCAAATCTCCAGAGTAATTACACACAAGGAGAGTTTTCCTAGTTCCTAGCATAGTGCTCAGGTCTCTCTCTAAAAACAAAGCATTGTGATGATTGGTTGAAAGAACAATGGCCTAAACCTCAGTGCTGTGAACAAGATGCTGTCCGTAGTGCTGTGTTGCTTAGGGTGCCCCAGAGTGCTGCCTAAATGCTTATACCCTAGGTCCAGAGGGCTATTCAAGCCTAGGAATCTACATTTAACCAAGCCCTACCCAGAATCTAATGCAGGCATCCCTGGCCCACCCTCTGGAATACAAAGGTAAGCAATTTCAATGGCTTATCTTGGTAGTGGCACACTCTGGGGAGGGGGATCCAATACTCTAGGATACAGTGGGTTTTCACAGCAAGCAGGATAGAATAGGGTGGGGAGAATCCAAGATCCAAGTGTTCAGCTAAACTTGATAACTGGGACAAGATAAGAGCCTCAGTTTCCTCATCTGAAAAGTAAATGCCTCAGTCCCTGTCCTGTTAAGGCTTGAGAGATTCTCTGTGTGCCTGTGTGCATGCGTACATGTGTTTGTGTTTGTGTGTGTGTGTTCTAAACAGTGAAGTGCTCTGGAAGGGATATGGATGTACACAGCACTATTATTATTATTAACAAGCAATCAGTGGGAGACTTGGTAGGAATATTCTGGGAGGGTAAGAAGAAGGAATAAAAGCCTGAATGTTGCTGAGACAAGAGGAAAAAAGGCTGTGAATAGTAGGTACATGGAAGAGGGTCAAGTGTTTGGTGCCCTCAACTTTGTTGCCTGGAGGCTGCCTGGTAGATGAGCACCCTGGAGAGGCCAAAGGACGTGGCCCATTTTGAGTAGGACCTTTTAGAGGTCAGCCTGCACTGCAGAAAGGACTAGAAGAAAGGTTGACAGAGGGCAGGGAACTGGATGCTGATGCCTTGTGCATTCAGGTAGTGGAGCCACTTTGAAACCAAGTAGTCTCATTTTCATTCAAAACTAGTTATCATCACCCCCAGGAGATTCTAATTTGGTTCTGAGGAATCAAATATAAGGAATGTAAAGTCACCCAGTTTAAGCTCAACCACCAGGTAATCTGTAGGGGATAGGGATGCAGGGTTCCTTGGGACTTTGGTTAAAAAGAGAGGAGGAAGAAAGAGGAGAAGAGCTACGAGTAACAAGGAAGGGGAGAAGAGAGGGAGCAAGGGCAGCATTCTTCCTGGGACCTCAGCCTCCAGGTGTGGGATGGGGAATCCACATTCTGGGGCAGGCAGTTTTCTGCTTTGGGAATGTTACCAAGACATCAAAGGCATTTGAAGAAATAAACGAACTTAGAAATTACATTCCAAAAGAGTAGAGAGTTTTTACAAACCAACCCTCCCACCCCCAAAAAGAAAACACAACCAGTTACCAAGTAAAACCTAAAACTTAAACGGAATCAATATTTACATGTAACATTGTTAACCCCATCCAGCCCCGCATCCAGGGGCTTCTGTAGGAATGGTGACAGTGGCCTTGTACAGTGGATACAAGAAATAGAAACGGGGACTCCACTGAAAACCAAGACCTGGGGTCTCCAACACCCCCACCGGGGACCACTGAGGCCCGGTGCCGAGACAGCGACAATGACGCATGACAATCTCGGATGAAGACGATGGTAAGGCTGAGAGGCCTGAAGGCCCTGAGGTCTCATGGGGATTACTCCCCAAGGCTGAGAGCACAGCCCCCCTGGCCCTCTGCAGCTCCAGGAGGTGGCAAAAGGCCTCTGGTGGCTAGTGGCCTGGTATGAATCCCCTCTCCTGCAGTTAATCTTCGAGGGGCCCCTGACCTCTTGGGTAAGAGCAGTGGAACTGGCCCAAGGCTCCAATGGCCTGTGGCTCTTCCCACACAAGTCACTAGGGCACAAGGAAGCAGCTGATTGGACTGACATGACCCTGATGTGCTGCCTGTAGGGAACTGGGACAAAGGGTTTTGTGTAACTGTTCCAGATGACCCTGAAAGGGTGGGTGAGAGGTGACAAGGGGGAGTGCAGGGCCATCTGAGTCCTGGGGACAAACCAGCAATGTTGTTGGCTCCTGGCCTTTCTGGTGGAGAGTTCTATACATAAGCCAGTGACAGGAGAGCTGCATATGTGGTGGGAGGGGGAAGAGGAGAGGAGATGTGTGTGTATAACTGAGATGGGTTCACCAGTGGAAAGGTTACAAGGCCTTCCTCACTGGACTGAAGGGAGCCATGCTGCAGTCTCTCGGACGGGATGGGTGGCTCCCATGGACGAAGGAAGGGCAGGCAGTGGAGCTGGGTTAGGAGCAGAGCCGAGAAAGGCATAAGGCTAAGGAGACAGGCTGGTGAAAGGCTGGCAGGCAGGCTGGTAGACACTCTCAGATCCGTGTGCAAAGCAGCAATAAACAACATTCTCAAAGTTCATCCTGTTTTCCTGCAAGTCGTCACTTGGGGGACTTGGAGGGGTCTTTGTACTCTTGACAAGAGCCATAGTCCTCCATGTTTGACTCATTAAGAAAGAAAAAGAGTTTGGGGAGAAGGGAAAGACTCTGGGGAGCGGTCACGTCAGTCTGGCTCACCACCCTGTCTGGAGCATTTACACACTGGCCTCAGGGGCCAGAGAGGTACCGGGTATGAAGGAAAAGGCAGTGCTCAGAGGCTCAAGGGTCTGTGGCGTTGGGGCAGTAAACTGCAGGGCTCCCACTCTGGTGAGGGGCCCTCTTGAAGAGTTCAGAGCTTGGCCTGAGCTGCTTCGTCATTACAGGGGATCCTCATGCCTATCTGTGGTGTTATGAACCCCACATTGTCCCAAGGGGGCATGAATACATGTCTTAACCTCCAATAAATTACCTTAGGGGCTTTGGGGAAAATTAAATTATTAAAAATAAAAAACCCACCTTAAATACTTAAAGAATACAAAAAAATCAAATAAATGATCTAGGCAAGAAATGTATTTCCCTGGCTTGAGCTGACTACGTGGGAGTCTGTGGGAGGGAGGATCTCTGCCCTCCACCAGCTGCAGGATACAAATGCAGCGAAGATGTAGTACCCCACCTGGGTGCCAGAGAGAGGCCCCAGAGAACAGGGTATAGCATGGAAGTGTTTTCCTGGATACCAGGTCTTGAGACGGGCTGTACTTATTTCTCTCCTCATGGATCTCCTGGAAAGGCTGGATACCCCAAAAGTCACACTGGCAGAGAGGCAGTCTTCACTTCCTCCCAGTTCTTGCTGCATATAGACTAGACCAGGGAGATCCAGGGCTCCAGGATGCCAAGTCTACTTGGCCCTGGGTACCACCCTATCATACCCCTAAATGCCAGCAACCCAAGCAGCAGGTGGGAGAGGTGGCAATGCCTGGCCTCACAGGAGCCTCAAGCTGGACCTGCTCTTTTCAGCCATATCTCCCTCCCAGAGAAAGGGTGAGTGGTGGGCAGGGAACATCTCTGTGCCTCTGTCTTGAGGCAAAGCCAGAAGTACCTCCCATTCTAGGATCTTACAAGTGGGTGTGGGTGGGGCCAGACAAGGATCCATCCTCGCTGGAGTACTCTGGCCGGGCTTCTGAGGCTCCGTCTTGGCCACAGGCTTGTTCTTTTTCCTGTTCACTGGCATCCACTGGGAAGGCAGAGTCACCACCCAGTGGTCACTGGAGACCCTGCTTTACCTTGAATGTTCTCTGGCAACGGGTAGCTGCTGTCCTCCAGGCACAGCAAGGCTAAGGGGGCAACCCTTCCCTGAATCTCCAGGGACCAGGCTGCTGGAGGTGGGAAGCTCAGTTGCTCTGTCACTCACTGGGGGCGACTGCCCTCTCCTCCACACCCCAGCCAGACTCGGATGGGTGCAGCCTGCACTTGGAAGGAGAGTGGCGGATGGCAGAGCGGGATGGCCGGACAAAGCAGGAGGTGAGAGACTGGGCACTACAGTCACAAACAGTGTCCTAGGAAGAGAAAGGGTAGATGTCAGGAGGAGCCCAGAGGTACTGACCACCCTGCCCAGGGGCCAGCAAGGAACTGGGTTTTAGTTGTGTATACCATCAGTTCCCAGGGACCACAGTGGGTCTTTGTCTCTGGCTGTCATTTTTCGCTCGTTAAGTCTGTAATGGATACTCATTTTACAGTGGTCTAGAAGACACAGAAATGAAAGGAAACCTTGTCCAAGGTCCCACATATCAAAGATAAATTCTCAGGGGACAGGGGTAGTGGCTTATGGCTGTATTCTTAGCTATGAAGGAGATAGGAAGATCATGGTTTAAGGCCAGCCCAGGCAAAGTTAATGAGATCCATCTCAAAAAAAAAAAACAAAAAACAAGCTAGGCGAGGTGGTTCAAATCTGTAATTGCAGCATAATTGCAGAATTCAGGTAAAAGAGGCAGGAGGACTGCAGTTTGAGGCCAGTTCTGGGTAAAAATGTAAGATCCAATTTGAAAAATAAAATAAAAAACAAAAAGAGCTGGGAGCATGGTTCAAATGCTAGAGACCTTACCTAATAAGTACAAAAAAATTTTTATTACATAAAATGTAGTGCAAACACATATATTTGCCCAAATGACCTCATCCCTTACACATCCTACTCTATAATAGCAAACCAAGAACACTTTTCTGTCACTATGTTCATCTAGATCTCCTTTTAAATGCTGTGGCTTTTGACACGTTACATAGTATGCATTTAGCAGAAATGTTCAACAAGCTAGCAATTTTAATTGCTATAACATATTTCTTGTTTTATTTTGACTTTAATCATTTTTAATTTTTTTTTCTGGTGCCAGGGCTTGAACTCAGGACCTCCCTCAGCTTGCTCTGGAGCTCTTTCACTTGAGCTCCATTTCTCACACATTCCTTGGAGGTGGAATCTCCCTGGCTTTTCTGGCTGACAGGCTTTGAATTGGGATCTTCTAATTTAAGCCTTGTGAGAAGCTGGGATTTCAGTCATGAACCACCATATCTGAGTGTGCAGACATTAGGAAGAACATTCCTATATGCCTTTCTGAGACAGTATTACTGGATGAGATGAACTCTGAAACTAACAGACTAAGTGAAGCAGACTACTTACCTTATGTGAGTGGTTAAAGTCAAATGAAGACCTGAATAGAATAAAAAGTGAATGCTTCCTGCCAGGATTTTTTTTTCATGCTCCTAGTCTGAAACTGAAACATGGGCACTTCCTGGGTCACAAGGCTGCTAGTTCTTAGACTAGGACTAGACTATTAACTTTTCTGCTTCTCAGCCTTTTGGATTCTGGCTAGAACCAAACTATCAGCTCTTGTGAGTCTCCAGACTACTGAGCTGCCCTACAGATCTTAGAACTTGACAGCCTTCATAATCACAGAAGCCAATTCCTTATAATCCCTGACCCCTTCATAATCTGTTTCCCTCTTCTATTCCTCCTCTCTCTGCTTCCCACCATACTTTTGTAGTGCTGGGGATAGAACCCAGTGTCTTATGCATACAAGGCAAGTGCTGTATCACTGAACTATACTCCCAGCCTGGACAAGCTCTGTTTCTGAACTTGCTGATACTGGGGCATGACTCAGGGCCTCATGCACTTGCTCAGCTTTTTTGCTCACAACTGGTGCTCTATCACTTAAGCCACATGTCCAGTGCTGGCTTTTTGCTGGTTAATTGGAAAGAAGAGTCTCTCAAGTCTTTTCTGCCTGTGCTGGCTTAGAACCATGATCATATTTATCAAATATGTTTGAAAATTTTGTTTTTTTATGTCTTAATCTCCTTTCTGCAACTCATACTTAATAAAATAATCTGAAGTGTACAAAATAGTCTTGCAGGCTGGGAATGTGGCTCAGTGGTAGAGTGCTTGCCTAACATGCATGAAGCCCTGGATTCAATTCCTCAGTACCACATAAACAGAAAAAGCCCAAAGTGGTGCTCAGGTGCTAGCCTTGAGCACAGACAGGCTCAGGGTCAGTGCCCAGACCCTGAGATAAGCCCTAGGACTAGGAAAAAAAATGGTTTTGTACCAAGCTGTTTGCCACAGCATTATCTGTAACAGAAACTAGAAACCACCAGGTGCTGGTGGCTCATGATCCGAGGATTGTATTTTGAAGCCAGCTTCAGCAGGAAAGGCCATGAGACTTATCTCTAACACATTACTCAGAAAAAAGCAGAAGTGGTTCTGTGGCTCAAGTGGTAGAGCTCTAGCCTTGAGCAAAAGAAGCTCAGGGACATCGCCCAGGCCTTCATTCAAGCCCCAGGCCTGGCCAAAAAAAAACCCACAAAAAACAAGAAACTAGAAACCAACCAAACATCTAGTAGCAGGGAAGCAGACTGCCTTAGATGATCTCAGTTCCTCCCCACAGTCCTCCTCACTTCTGTGTGCCCCAAACTATAATCCTTGATAAGTCTACAGCACACCACAAGGAACCATCATTGACCACAGTAGAGGGAGACCAAGGGGGTACACCTTACTCAAACTGATCAAAAAGTTTTAAGTTCATGTCATGAGGTGCTTGAACTGGAAGATGTTATAAAACCAGAGCTGGAGCAACCTATCTATTGCTTGTAGAAATGCAACAGAAGGAAAGAGAGGAGGAAAAGAACATAGAAGAAAACAAAGCTCTAAAGAAAAGAGAGAACAGGGAGAAACTGCTGATGCCTTCAGGTCTTAGTTCTAGATCCTATAAGATACTCCATCATCCATCTAAAACATTTCTTTCCCCTTCAGCATGCCAACTCAGAAGCATCCCTTGACTAACACTCAGTGCCTGACTCAGTAGAATTGATGTGTGGAGAGTGTACAGCAAAGCTTCTTAGACAATGTGAGTACTCTGGTGTGAAGTCAGGTGGATGGGGCAAGGGGGCAGGCAGGTTAATATTTAATTCCATTTTCGGAAGTGGCGCTGTGGCTCAAGTGGTAGAGCACTAGCCTTGAGCTGAAGAGCTGAGGGACAGCGCCCAGGCCTAGAGTTCAGGCCCCACGACCGACCAAAAAAAAAAAAAAAAAAGTTAATTCCATTTTCCAGGAGCGAGAGGAGAAAGGTCTCTAGTTTGTAGCCTTTGCCAATTTTCCTGGCATCTGTCCTGCCTCTGCAGCCAATATGCATGGAGAAATTAAAAAACACAGGATGCTTTCAAAAAGCCTCTGAGCACAGCACATCACCAGGAGCAAGAAAGCAGCAGATACACCCCTTCCCTGAAACATAGGCTAGAGATCTCTGCAGAGTACTAGGAAGGTAGCTGATCGAGCCACACTCACCATTATCTCCTGGCACTCAGACCATGTGACCACTAGGTCTGTGTCATTCCAGAGCTTCCCTCATAAGGAAAAGGGCAAAGTCTATCCACTTACCTCATTAGGAAGGATTGAGACTCCATCTCCATCACGGGGGACACCATCCTTGCCCATCTGGGATGGGTTGGTGGTTCTGGCATCCTCACTGCCAGATTTGGCTGCCTTCTTGTTCAAGATCCTGGCCATGCCCTCTGGCTGATGGTAGCTGGCAGGGGAGAGAGGTTCAGGTTTCTTGGAGCTCTCTTCTCCTGCTACCGATGTGGGGCTTGGTGCACGGCCGCACACATTCCGGAAGAACTCTTGCACAATGCCATACTTGGGAGGCTCGGGCTTGGCCCGGGCCTCAGTCATGCCCAGTTTCCAAACAGATTCAGTGCTGCCCGAGTGCTCCACCACACTGAAGAGGCTAGACAGTCCATCGTTAATGTTCCTCAGCACTGGGCTGTCCCGAGTGGTGGTGGAACGGGCCCAGGCCGAGCCATTCTGCTTGCCCTGGTGCAGGTTCCACAGGCTGCGGTCCTTGGTGCTGTCCAGTTTAGACACAGACCTCCTCTGCAGCTTTGGTGAGCCATACTTGGGTGAGCAGCATGGCCGCTCAATGCGTGGATGCACCTTGTCCAGAGAAGAGGAGATCTGCTTGCTGCGCACAGACATGAGTGAGGAGCTGCGGGGAGACCAGCTCTTGCTATGGAGGCTGCTGCGGGGCGGGTCAGTCTGCAGGCCCACGCTGACCGTGCGGATGGTCTGCGTGCCCACACTGTCCAGGCCTACCGTCTGGCTGGATGTACTCTTCACTTTCCTCTCCAGTGAGCCCGAGCGCATGGCCTGCCGCACACAGTTAGTGATCTCCTTCATGTCATCACTCATGTTGCCTGACATTTCAAAGTCATGCAGGGAGGCTGGGAAAGCAGGCCCGGCTGCTGAGGGGCTGCCCCCGGACCCCCCATCCAGGCGCTGTCGGGAGAAGTTGCACAACCATCGTCCATATGAGCTCTCGGCTAGCCCATCAGCATCAGCTGAGTCTTTGGGCTTGGCTGTGGTAAAGAGGAAGCCAGGCTCAATGAGGATCTTGCCTTCCTTGTCATGGACCACAGGGACACCCAGGCGCCGAGCCACCGGGGGGCTGTAGTAGACTCGGATGCCCGTCTTGTCTGGAGCTGTGTAGCTGCGTTGCATCTGCCTCCCGGCAGGATCCTGGCAGGCCAGGGATCCCAGGCGGCTGCAGTCCCGTGGCAAGAGCCCAGGATTTTCCTTGGCTTCTTTCTCTGCATCTACTGGCTCGGTACTCACAAAGGTAAAGGCAGAGCTGTTGGGTAGCTTCTTGCCCCGGGCATCTCCACCAGCAAGGTAGGGGGAACAGTCGAGCAAACTTTCAAATTCAGACATGGAGGAAACAGATTTGGTCCTGGGCAGAGCAGAGGAGAAAAACAGGATTAGTGAAAATAGTACACACACTGCTCAATTGTCCTGGGGCCCACATACAGTAAGCCTGCCTGAGTTACCTCTCCTAGACAACACCATGGGTGGCTTCCCCAACCCCTTTGCATACACCCCACCCTACCTACATACCCAGAGCACATGTTCCAAACACCTGCTTGTATGTGATTTACTTGTCCTCTGTAGAGGAGGCTCTACAGCTCAGGGGTAGCACCCTAAACACAGCCCTCAACACAGGTTGGGTAAGATTTGGTGAGTAAGCACCCAGGCCTCCTGTCCCTCAGATGAGTGGATCTGAGTAGTACATTCTCTTTTGGATCCCAGAATTACTCACGAAGCCTGAAATCCAGCTCCCGACAGAGTCACCTAGAGAAAACTCCTTTTAGCGGCTGCTCCCTGTTCCTATCTTACTTTTAAGTATTTTCAGAAAGCCTCTCCCAAATAAACCATTTGCATGTAAGTCCCCATCTTAGGGTTTGCTTCTAGGGAAACCCAAATTTAAATGCCAAGAAATCCAGCACAGAACTGGATATGGTGACACAATCCTGTAATCCTAGCACTCGGGAGGTTTAGATAGGAGGATCACCAGTTTAAGGCTATTCTAGGCTACATAGAGGAACCCTGTCTTCAAAACCAATCCAGCACAGATCTGTGTGTATTGCATGAAGATGTAAAATGCCAGGTATGTGAGAGCTCACTGTACATGTCTAGCCTCTGAAAAGCTCTAGGGGGCAGCTTTTCTTGTCTAGAAATGGCAGCACTGGAGTCACAATCCTCAGGCTCAGGGCCCACTTTGCCCTTGTGCTTCTGGGCTGCTCTGTGTGGCCTCTGTGGGGCTCTGTCTCCCTCACTCCTTTCACAGGTTTCCTAATGGTAGAGACAGGGTCTCTTTAATCTCAGGGGTTCCCCTGAAGACAGCACAGGGTTGGGTTGAATGGATGCTGCTCAGTAATTCCAGGAATAAATGGGTATCATGACTATCCTAATGTCTGAGACAAGAGAAAACAATCCCCAAAGGAGCTAAAGGGTGTCTCTGCCAGCAAGAACACCCTGGGGCCCAAGTGTTCTCCATGCTCAGAATCAAACAAATCAACAGTAAACTATAGGCCAGATTCCCCATCATTCCAAGCTTTCTAACTCCAAAGAAGAAAACCATTATCTGGGTAGTCTTCCAACTCTAGTAAGGGGAAAGGGTGGGTAGATGGGGTAGGGTGAGCACCTCTTTAAGCCAGTTCCCCCAAGCTCAGCTTCAGAAGCAGCTTCCTTGTCATGGATCTTCTCACTGCGTGTCTGAGGAGGAAAAGTCAGTAAGGATAAGTGGCCACCAGTACAGGAAAGGAACTAAGCCCAGACCCCATGCCTGTGTCTCCTCTGTTGGGGAATATGATGATGAGGTCAGCAGCAATCTGACCTATTGGTCAGTTTCTGGATGCTTCCAACTCCCCCACCACAGTAACTGTGACCTAGGCTGGGCCAACTAGAGCGGCAAGAGTGGCCCTAGGGAAAGAGGGATCACTTAGAATGTATCCCAAATGGGGTGGCAGCAACAAAGCACCTAAAAGCAGCTGTTCAGTTGGTGGTGACAGCAGTGACTATGGAGCTCCAGCTCTGGGCTTGTACTAGAGGCATGGCCCAGGACCAGCATGCTTACCAGTCCTGCAAGCCCCAAGAAAATCCTCCCACTTCAGCATCTGCTGTTTGCAATCAGGTCTTTTGAGTGACACCACTTCCTCAGGTTGCCATGGGGACAAAAGAGGAGGAGGTGGAGGAGGGAAGGGACTGTGTGTGACATTTTACTGCCTATTGATCTATGAACACACCTGAGTCATGCATACAAATTTCACCAACATGACCTTACTGATTGATCTCACACCCAGGGCTTTGCCAGGATGGAATAGTTGATCCTTATTTATCAGTGACACAACTGGGGCCTAGAAATAAGGCAGTGAGTTGACCAAGATCATAAAGTTATGTAGAGGTCTTGTTTTCTACACAGCTGAAACCAAGAAAGGCCTAGGGTCTCTCCACAGCATAGAAGGACAGCAGAGGCTATCCCAATCATGAGCAGAAAACATGGAGTAACAGGATGTCAGTGGCTTATGCCTACAACCCTAGCTATTCAGAAGGCTGAGACCTGGAAGATCAGTTTGAAGACAGCCAGGGCAGAAAAGTCCATGAGATTACATCTCCAATTAACCAGCAAAAAGCTGGGCTGGAGGCATGGCTCAAGTGGTATCATGCCAGCCATAAGCAAGCAAGGTGAACTGAATAATCAAATGAAGCCCTTGAGTTTAAGCTCCAGAACCAGAAAGAGAGGAAAGAAAGACAGACAGAAAGACAGACAGACCATGAGATAAAGGCCCCAGGGCTGAGAAGCTCAAGATGCAATGGAGTAGCCTGTGGGACATTAGGGCATCCTCTTATCATGTTCCTATAACCAGGGAACTTTTATTTTTTATTTTTTGCCAGTTCTTGGGCTTGAACTCAGGGCCTAGGCACTGTCCCTGAGCTGCTTTTGTTCAAGGATAGCACTCTACCACTTGAGCTACAGTGCCACTTCCCGCTTTTTCTGTTTATGTGATACTGAGGAATCAAACCCAGGGCTTCATGCATTCTAGGCAAGCGCTTTACCACTATGCCACATTCCTATCCCTTAGGGAACTTTTATGTAGCAATGAGCCAAGAGAACCTGGCAGCAGTGACCTTCACCTCTTTCCGGCTGTTGTCCTGCTTCTCCAGGTCTGCATGCTTCAGAAGCCAGGGCTCAGCAGCCTTTTGCAGCTGAGAAGGGAAAGACAGCACATCAGTGGTAGGAAGGGCAGTGCACAGGGATTGTTCTGAGCAAAGCTACTCCCCAGGTTCTGCTCTGCAGCCCAGAGGATCCCCAGTATGGATCTAGAACCACCATCTCAACAGGGAGCAGCTCTGAGCTACCTACAAGCTGCAGTTAGGAAGTAACACTGCCTAGTTGTAGGCATCCTGTGGAAGTCATCTGGACCAAAACAGTAACAGCTACTCTTATTCCAAGGCACACATCGTGAAACCCAGGGACCCCACTGCCACCAATGGTGGCCAGCACTAAGGGCTCCTGGCATCCCTTCCTCAAGGTGCTATCTGATTGCTTTCTCAGAGCTCCATCACCTCCAGGGGGTATGTGACAGAACCCACATGCATTCTCACCTATACCAGTGGGTGTGCCTGTGAGATTCAGGACTGAGAACTGGTTCAAACTCAGCAATTAAAGGGCAGCAAGCCAGGCGCTGGTAGTTCATGCCTGTAATCCTAGCTAGTCAGGAGGCTGAGATCTGAGGATCATGGTTCAAGGCCAGCCCAAGCAGGAAAGTCCATGAGACTTTTTTCCCTCCATGAGACTCTTATCTCCAATTAACCACCAGAAAATTGGAAGTGGCATTCATTGTAGCTCAAGTGGCAGAGTGCTCCCTTGAGCTGAAGAGCTCAGGGACAGCACCTAGGCTCAGAGTTCAAGCCCCATGACCAACAAAAAAATAAAGGTGGGGGGCAGGAATGGCAGTGGCCACAGTATAGTAGGTCACAAGGTAGAGTGCTCTGACAACCCACCTGAACCTGTCACTACAGCCTTCTCTCCAGGATGACCCTGGGCAACCAGAACCCACTTACTGTCAAAGGACAACAGTCATTAAGGTCCTAAAATCAAGCATGGGAGCACAAAAGCCTTAGCTCAGGCCTTATGGTGTCTCCAGTGGTTTAACTCCCCAGTGTATCAAGGATTGTGGAGTGGATCACGGGTAGACTGGTAAGCACACATGCTCGGCTTATCTATCCCTGCCACTGACTATACACAGGGTTACCAACTCACCCTGGTCCACCCAGGACTTTCCCATGGTTAGCATTGAAAAATCTCATGATCCTGAAAGCTCTTCATTCTGAAAAACCTAACACTGCTGCAGTCCTAACAGTGGAAGTCCAGGAGGAGCCCCCTCAGTCCCATGTAGACCAGGACAGGTTAGTCACCCTGCTTGTACTTCGGCCTGTATCTGAGGCTTTGCTTCGTAGAAACCCAACAGAAGACAAATAATAAAATCAGTAACACAAAAGTAGCATTAACATGAAGACATGGCAAAAACAGATGAAGATGGAAGGAACAAAGTAAGTTCCTGGGACACTTACTGCTTTAGAGCAAAAGGGTGGGCCTAGATATGCTGGATACTACCCCAGGTATTCTTGTGGCTATCTCCTTTATTCCCACAGCAGCCCTGAAGACAAGGAGGTCAAGTCCAGTTATCCTCACTGTACAGATGAGGCCCAGAGAGAACTGACTCCATCAGGCGTACTTAGCAGACCCAGGTGAGGCTGGGAACGCCTGGTCAGAAGCTCTTTCCTCCCTGCTGCTTTACCAGGCTAGTCTCACTGAGAGTCTGGTCTAAAGAATGTAGAGCCAGGCATGATGGTTCACTCACTGCTATAATGCCAGCAGCATTCAGGAGGCTGAGATGGGAAGAGTAGGAGTATGAGGCCACCCTGGGCTATGTAATCACAACTTAAAAAAAAAAAAAAAAGAAAAAGCCTGGGAAGAAAAGTCCCTGTGAAACTCTTATCTCCAATTAACCATTCAAACTGGAAGTGGAGCTGTGGCTCAAAGTGGTAGAACACTAGTCCTGAGTAAAAGAGCTCAGGGATAGCGCCCAGGCCCTGAGTTCAAGCTCTATAACAGACAGACAGACAGACAGACAGAAAGAAAGAAAGAAAGAAAGGGGGGGAGGAAGGGGGAGAAAGAGAGAGGTAGGAGGAGAGGGAAAGAGAGAAAGAGAAAGAGAAAGAAAGAGCACTGCTTTGTGGGCCTAGTTTGAACTGAAGGAGGCAGAGCTGGAGGACCAGCAGGTCCCCCATAAGATCCCTCCAGAGGAAACAGGAACAAGAGATGGTCCAGACCTGATAGCTGGTAGGTTCTGCCTATGAGCTGAAGTGTGTCTCCAAGTGGCTAGGGAGCTGCTCTCACATTTTGAGAGCCTTTTAAAAATACTTTGAGAGTAAACAGGAGGGAATCCTTCTCTGTAGACAGGAACTGGTTTCATAGTGCACACAGATGCACTGGATCTACTTTCCACATGGCATGTGCTGAGATTTGTCTGGGTGCTGCCTGTACTCACCAGGTACAAGCTCCCTCAGAGGAGGCCAGTGCCTGCTAGTGGGCTCAACCTTCACAGAGAGTAGGGGTAACCCTTAGAGGAGGGCCATGCCCTCAGGAAAAGATGCAGGGCTGAGGATAAGGAATCAACCAGACGTGGAAGCTCTTCCAATTCCTTTTTCGTCCCTTAATCATTTTATGACCATGGCAAGTCACTTTACCTGAAAAAGGGATAGTGATTGTGCAGGCGGTTGGACAATTGGGCACAGCTTGAGAAGAAATACAAATGGTCAATAAAGTCATGAAGAGATGCTCACCTTTACTAGGAACCAGAGAAAGGCATAGAAAAGAGAGAAGATAGAGCAAAGCTGGTCTTCAAACCATGCTGGGGAGGAGGGGGTAGCATTCCTGGACATGGCCTCTCTGGAGGCTGGCTGGGCAGCTCTATCAGCTATTCAGGAACTTGTCCTTGAATGTAACACTTTCATTTCTAGGAATCCATCCTACAGAAATATTCATGCATGCACTCTTGTACACATGTGGGGGGTGCACACTGGGGGACTACCTTCAATAATGAAAAAAAACTGGAGACAATCTAGATTTGGTAGATATGGAAAAATAAAGTTTTTCTATATGTCAGGAATATAACATCAAGCAATAGTTCAATTCAATGAGGCAGACTATAAATAACACGTACATTATAATTCAATTAAAATAACTACAAAGCAAACAAAGCCCCGTGGATATAAATTTAAATAGCAAGAAAAGGAAGGGAGCCAGCTGGAATATACTCTTGTAATATTTATGTTTTACACAGGATAAAGTCCTGACTGCTATAATTAAAGTAACAATTAAAAGAAAGGAAAAAATCAAAATAAAGAGTGAAACAAAGGAAGTTCTAGGAGCCGGACGCCGGTGGCTCATGCCTGAAATCCAACTACTCAGGAGGCTGAGATCTGAGGATCATGCTTCAAAGCCAGCCCGGGCAGGAAAGTCCGTGAGACTCTTATCTCCAATAAACCACTAGAAAGCTGGAAGTGGCGCTTGGCTCAAGCAGTAGAGCGTTCACCTTGAGCTGAAGAGCACAAGGATAGTGCCCAAGCCCATGACCGACAAAAATAAAAATAAAAAAAAGAAGAACTTCTAGGGACCCAAGCCTTGAGTTCAAGACCTGGGACTGGCAAAAAAAAAAAAAAAGAGTAGAGCACATGTGGTGGTGGGTGGTTGCTAGGGCATGATGGGAATTGTAGAGGGGGTATAGCTCTCACTGATTGCTTTTCATTCTCCCCTCTTCTGGTCAAAGGATTCCAACTTTCCCCTGGGAACCACTCCTGGCCCTTCCCCCTCTGCTCCTGCTTTTGTTCCTCTCTAGGGATGGGCACATGACTCACACCTGACCAATCAGAACCTGGCAGACATGAAACTCTCCTCATTGCAATGGCTAAGCTGTAAAATATGATCATGAAGCTAACAATGGCCATATTTGGAGATCATTTGCTTAAGGAAGACTAAAGCTAACACAGAAGAAAGCAGGCTTGACAGAGACATAGAGAAGACCTAGTTCTTACTGTAATTTCTGAGCACCAAAATCTACCAATACCTGAAGGAGACTCTCTTCAGGATTTATCCAGCACAGGGAAGGCTCCCCAGCCATTTTCCCTGTGGTTCAAACCAGCTGGAGCTGGAACCAGCCTCACCTGACTCAGGCGGTTCTGCAGCTCCTTCACCTGCTGTTCCACTTGCTGCTTCTCACCCTGCAGCCGCTCCACCAGCTGCAGCTTCTCTTGGCTCCAGTTGCGCTCACTGATCTGCAGCTGTCGGGTCAGCTCCATGACTGCGCTGTAGGACTCAGCCAGGAGATGCTGCTGCTCCTCACGCTCCCTCTGCAGGGCTGCCTTCCAGTCAGGCCCAGCCCGCTCTCCGGCCCCCTTCCCAGTCTTCAGCTCCATCTGCTGAAAGAAGTAGTCTGGTCAGCCAGCACCAGCAGCCCCTCCACTCTTCCCTGCAGACTGCCAGCTGGACACCAGCAAGGATGGGGAAAGAGGGCCTTGTGAACCCCCTACACTAAGCCTCCTCACAGCAGGGCTGGGAAGCTCTTTCTGGAAGCCAGTCTCTCCTCTTAGAAGCCTCACAAAAACTCATCTAACTCATTCCTCAGCACAAGAGTTCCAAGGGCTAAGTGCCCCCCGGTCACTCAGCTACTACACAGCTGATCCTGGGGCTTGAACTTAGAGCCTGGGCACTGGCCCTTGGCTGTTTTGCTCAAGGCTGGCACTCTACTAGTTAAGCCACAGCTCCACTTCTGACTTCTTGGTGGTTAACTGGAGATAGTCTCACAGACTTTCCTGCCCAGATTTACTGTACAGCTGCAATCCTCAGATCTCCCATCTTGGTTAGTTAGGATTACAGGCATGAGCCACTGGTGCCCAGCTCCTAGATCTTGCTTTTTATGCTTTATCAACCCTTGCCAGCACTACAGGTTCAGGTTAAAGGGGAACATCTCCATCTCTCCTCTTGGAAAGCTGACCCCACCAGTACACATGGGCCCTCACATGTGGGACAGTCACACATGTGCACGTGCAGTCGTGACATGCCCAGGTGCGGGCAGCAGTGCAGCATGATGACTTTCCTGGCCCTGGTCTCAAGGCGGCAAGGAAGATGTGCAACCTGGCAGCTCGATGCCCAGCATGGATCTGGGATGCAGATGCTGCTGTGGTCATTAGGAAGAACAGGAGTTTGCAAACACTGGGGAAAGGTGAGACTGGAGTTGTGGGTGACTAGGTAGGCAGAGGCCTAAGGAACCTTCCCCAAGCTGGAGGCCAACCTTTTCATTTTTCAAACTAGAGTGGGCTGGCAACCTGCTCCCAGGACAGGTTGCCACAGCACAAACCAAATTCCCAGAGGTCTCTTTGGTCAGGTGGTTGTTGGGGAAACCCTCAAAGCCAGGTAGCAGTGGGCTGGGAGATCCTCATGAGGAGAGAAGGGACCAAATGGGGGCAGCAGGCAATGGTAGTCCAAGCAGGTGCAAGCAAGGTACAGACAGGCCTGGAAGTGTCTAGCCTCACCTCACCTCACCTGTGAACCCACAATGCAGGAGAAGTGCCTAGCAGTCTTACTCTTCCTCCCCTGGCCCACTGACTCCTGCTCCCTGAAGCCCTTGCTGTGTGATGCTAGACAAGTCTTCTGCCCTTTCTGGGGACCAGGTGAAATAGCCTCCAGGAGTGGGACTCGGGCATCCTGCTTCCAGAACTAACCACTGAGGGCTTCATGAGAACCAGGAGAGAGTGTCTGGCAGGTGGGGACTCACCTGAGCAGCATGGCCCTTGAGCTCGGCCCTCTCTGTCTCCCAGGTGGCCTTGGCCTTGGCAAACTGCTGCTGAAGCTCTGTCAGCCCACGGCGCTCGTCCCGGAGCAGCCAGCACAGCTCCTTCAGTGTTACCTTCATGTCTGCCAGGGTCTTGATGTCCTCACTGGGCTGCAGGCAGGACAAGGCTGAGTTAGGAACTTCAGGAAGGAAAGGCCTCTGGGCTCTGAGTGCTGGCACAGGAGCACAGCTGGGACCTTGTCCAGCCCTGGGCAGGCCTGGCTACCCCTCTAAGTGCCAGCCTCACATAAAGGCTTCTGAGTTATAGGGGAAAATTGTGCTGCCCAGATCCCACTGAATCACAGTCTGCCTCTGAGGCTCTGCAGTGCCTAGGCTGTGGGTCTCTTTCCCTTTTCAGGATCTGCCTTTCACAGCAGCTAGGCCTCTGTGGGGCCTGCACAGTGTGCCCAACTCCATCTCAACTCCTATCTCCTGAGCTCAGCTGTCACCCAGCTCACTGGGTATACTGCTCCCTCTGACCCATGGCTTCAGTTGAGGGTTCTTAGTCCCAGACTGCAAAGGCCCCTCTTCCGATGACTCCAGTTTGATACCCACTACCCATCCCCCAATTTCATACAAATGAAGCCATAGCCAGTATCAGAAAATCTTGCCATGCTTGGCACACATAATCCTCTAGGTCCAGAATGGCCTTCTTTCTGTTCTCTATTAGTGAACTTCTACTCACCTTTAAAACTCATCACCTACAACCCTTTCTCTGTGATACCGTTCCCTATACTCTAATTGTTTTACAATGCGAGGGATGGAACCTAGGGCCTTGGATCAGTGCTCTGCCACTGAGCTACATTCTTACTCACCACCTCACTTTTTTTAGGTATTAAATTTGAACTCATTTATTCACACTTGCTGGCAGACTCTACCATTTGATCTATGCCTCCCTCTCCCATTCTTTTTGCTTTAGTTATTTCTTGGGTAGGTCTCATGTTTCTGCACAGGGCTAGCCTTGAACTGTGATCCTCACATCTCTGTCTCTCAAGTAGTTGGGAAATAGAGATTACATCATTCCTCACTATTCCCGGCCCCAACAGAATTAACAACTTTCTTGCCTGTGCCTCACAGTCTGCCATCTAGTCTTCTATCACTGTCCTGGAATGACTTATGGACTCCAGACTGAGCAACTTGCGGGGAGAGGGGTAGTGACCAGGTAGTAACCTTTTGCAGGTCTAGTACCCAGTGCCCAGTGCCTGGCTGCACCAAAGGTGGCAGCAGCAATCACAAAGGGACAAAGGAAAGACAATAAGGAGGGGCAGGCAGGGACTGGGAACGTACTGTGTTCTGGGTCCAGCTGTCTCCTGTGCATGCCTTGTTATCTGGCTGCTGGGCATTTATCTCCTCTTCCTCCATCAGCAGGTACAGCTCCTTCATGCTGTTTACCTATGTGTAAAAACCACACTCAACAGGGGGTAGAGAATGTTGCACCTGAGGCTCAGTCCTGGGATCAGGGGACTCTGGCTAGTAGCACAGCTAAGAAGGAAGGAAGAGGTCCAACTTTAACCTGGACCCCTAGGGGGGCCTTCCTGGCTGAGAAGCACTACTTAACATCTTTTTTTTGGGGGGGGGGTCTGGTCCTGGGGCCTGAACTCTGGGCCTGGGCGCTGTCTCTCAGCTCTTCAGCTCAAGGCTAGCGCTCTACCACTTGAGCCACAGTGCCACTTTGGCTTTTTTTTTATCTGCTTATGTGGTGCTGAGGAATGGAACCCAGGGCCTCATGCATGCAAGGCAAGTGCTCTACCACTGAGCCACCTTCCCAGCCCCTACTTAACATCTTTACTGTCTCAGCAATCGTGGGGGCATTGCTGAGTCACTTAGAAGTAACCATGTTGACAGACTGGGCCAGGTGAGCACTATGGGTGGACCCACTGTAGTAAAGGGTAAGAGAGACAGAAGGTTTGGATGGATGGGAGGGACCCTTTCTGGGTGGGGGCATATGTTGCTGATGGATTCTGGAGAGGAGTCCAGCCCCTCCCAGGGTGCCATGCAGCTGGGAATGAAGCCTCAGTGGGCTGTTAGTCACCACTCATTTATCTGCTCATCAGTCATCTAGTAAACACCTGCTAGGGCCAGGCCCAGTGTAAGGAACAAAGTGTCAGGAACTGTCAGGAGCAACACAGACAAAGATCCTGGCCCCTGAGCCTACAGGAATACAGACAAAAATAAGTGGCATGGACAAAATGCTATTTGATATAGAACATCCCATAATGGCAGTTTCTACAGAGGAAGAGAAGAGGGAAGCAGGTAGGCTGGACTGCATGTGGTCAATGAGGGCTGTCAAGAGAAGGGGTACTTAGGAAAAGTCCTGAAAGTAGTTAGTGAGCCATGAGAATACCTGGAGGAGGAGAACTGCAAACAGAGGGTGCAACATGTGCAAAAGAGCTAAGGTGGAAACGAGCCTGTTTGAGGAGGAGCCTGGAGGAAGTGAGAGAGGTATGAAGAATAAGGCCATGGTAGAGACTTGACCTTGACTCCGGGTGAGAACTGCGAGCCAAGGAGGGACACCAAGCTGACTTTTGGTTTCACAACCTGGCTTTAGCTGAGACACAGCTGTACTGGACCACTCCAGAGTGTGTGCACACAGACCACAAGCTGTATGGTGCTACAAATGAGGGCAGAGGCTGGGAGACCAGTTAGATGGCAAAAGCAGTCATTCAAGCAAGACCTGAAAGTGACTAGAACAGGGGCAATGGGGATAGTTGACTCTGGGGACAGCGCGGACAGGATTTGCCAAAGGATCGATGAGGCACTCTGGGAAGAGATGGGAGAAGATGCTGCCTCTGCTTTTGGCCTGAGCAAGGAGCAGCTGTCATGACGTACAGGAAGTGCTAGGTGGTTTTGGACAAAATATTCACAAAGCCTTTTGGGCACCTACATGGATCTGTCAAATTCTGGGGAAATGCCTAGGCTGGAGGAAGCATTTTGGAACTCAAGTGTCCAGAAGAGGTGTCTGAAACCTCTGCCTCAAGGGAAGCAGAGTAGGGAAAAAACAAAAAGACTTCTTTCAGACTCTGACCTAAGAGCTGAGGTCAGGTGACTGGGGGTGAAGCTCAGAGGCAGAAAGAGTACGTGGCATGCATGAGTTCCTGAGTTCCATCCCCAGCACCAGTGAAGGATGGGGTCATGAACAGGGAAGTGGAAAGAAAATGGAGCAACCAAAGGAAGAAGGATTCCAAATGTTGCATGTAGGAAGATAATGAGGCAGGGAAGTATGTAGGGGAGGTGGGGTGGTGGGGAATCAATCTGCAGGAATCAATAGCCCAATTCCACCCCTGGTACAAGAATTGTTCTGTCTTTTGATAATCTGAACACAGACAGGTACACAGTCCTTCCTCTGGAAACTTCAGGGCTTAGCCTGGTTTGTTTTGGTTTTGGTGCTGGGACTCCCCTCCAGCCAGGGTCATTGCACATGGTAAGCAAGCGTGTGCAACTCAGATGCTAGCCTGAAGCTTTGGAGCCCTTACTGCTCCCCAGTCCTAGCCCTCAGGCTAAGCATACCTCCAGGAAGTCATCCCCCTCGCTGGGCAAGCCCTTGCCCTGCCGCCAGCGCTTCAGGAACCATCTGAGCTTCATGAAGAGCAGTAGGAAGTTATGCTTGAATTGCTGGGACTCCTGCACCAGCATGTTCTTCTCCTGGCTCCAGAACTTCTGTTCTAGCCTCCGTTGCAGGCTCAGGCTCTGCAGCTCAAACTCTCGCCTCAGCAGCGCCCTCTGCTGATCCTCCTTCATCTGTAGGGTTCAGACAGACACTGGCTCAGTTCCTGGGCGGGCCCAGATGAAGGGCATGGGGGGGAACCTGGTGGTACCTGCCAGTGATTCCTATCCGGATCCTACCCAGGGATGATGAACTCACAAAAGCAGCTGCAGTCACAGTCCCAATTCAGTGTGAAAAACCACCATGTGATCATACCCTGAGCACCTAGTGGGCAACTAGATGTTCCCATGACACAATAGATGAGGGACCCACAAGGGTGAGGGACAAAGATGAGAACAGGAAGGTGACTATGTGGAGAGCAAGAGCATGCTGGGCTCCCAGGAGGCTGATGGATGCAACATCCAAGGCATCAACTTGGATCATGGCTAAGAAGAGCCAGAGATATGGAATGTGCAACCATGGGCAAAGCACTTCAGCTCTCTCTGGGCCTCATTTTCCACACCTATAAAATGGACACCCCTTACAGAGGAGGACTGGAGGCTCTAAAGGATGTAAGGGATGGGTGTGCATTACATGGTTCTGATTAACGGATGCAATGGGACTAGCAAATGGATCACCAGCCAGGCCTGTCAGGAACATTTCATACATGAGAAAGTGAGGCCTTGAGGGGAAATGGGATTGGCCTGGTCACACAGGCGGCCCATGCCAAGTCCAGGACTCCAGCCCAACATGGCTGATGCACAATTATTAGTGTACTGACACCCTAGTAGGATGTGGAGCTGCAAGTCTTGGGCTGCAGGGCCTTCTTACCTTCTAGGTGAGACCCAGGTGTCCCCAAGGACCCTGCCTTCAGATATTTTGCTTGTTTTTGCAATGCTGGGGATGGAATCCCGAACCCCTCACATGCTGGGCAAGTACTCCCTCTGAGCAATTCCCCAGCCACTTTGCTTTCAGAGCTAGGAGGACAGACTGAAGTAGGTGCAGGGCCTCAATGTCACCCACCTGGACCAGTTTCTGGTTGAAGTTGTCGGCTTCTTCCTTCCGAAGCTGCCGCTCCTGGGAGAGCTGCTCTTGCAGGCCCCGGAGACTGTCATGGGCCTCAGCCAGCACCAGCTGCAGCTCCTTGATCTGTGGTGGGGGTAGGGGGCACAGACAAGAGGAGAGAGGAGAGGGAGGCTGTGGTCAAAGGATGGAAGGCAGTAGGGACCAGTAGCAAACTAGACCCAAGCATCCCTCTAGAGCAATGGCTGTCCCAGCTGCAGTGGGTGGTCATGTCAATTAAATACAACAAACACTCAAACGTATATATTGATTTGTATGTGTGTGCATGCATGCACACACCGGGGCTGGGTTCTGTCCCTGAGCTTTTGTGCTCAATCCTACCATTCTACGTCTTGAGCGACAGCTCCACTTCTGGCAGAGTCTCGTGAACTTTCTTGCCTGGGCTAGCCTTGAACTCTGGTCCTCAAAGTCTTAGTCTCCTGAGTAGCTAGGACTACAAACATGAGCCATCAAAGCTGAGCAATGGTTATAATTTTAACTTAATTTTACTCTTTAAAATTTAGATGAAAAAAAATTGTGAAAATTAAATTTGATTCTCTCATTTACTTATTTAATTTCTGAGATGAGGGTCTGGCTATGTAGCCTGAGCCTTGAACTCTAAGATTCTAGTGATCTTGCCTCAATCTCCTGAGGAGCTGGGACTACAGGTATGCACACCACAACCAGCTGTGCTATAAATGCAAAAACTTAGAAACAATTTAAATAATAAACAATGGGGACAAAAACAGTAGTAGGCATATATGTAAAAATTCATCTAACTGTACACTTAAGGGTACTACTATCCTTTATTGTATGTATATTATTAAGTAATAAGTGACAGGAACAGACTAAATGTAAACAGTGGTTAATTATATGAGCTTGACTTTTTTCTTTACATCTTTTTTTTGGGTTGGTTGTGAGGCTTGAACTCTGGGCGTGGGTGCTGTCCCTCAGCTCTTCAAGGCTAGTGCTCTACCACTTGAGCCACAGCGCCACTTCCGGTTTTCTGAGTGGTTTATTAGAAATAAGAGTCTCACAGGCTGGGCACTGGTGGCTCATGCCTGTAATCCTAGCTACTCAGGAAGCTGAGATCTGAGGATCAAGTTCAAAGCCAGCTGGACAGAAAAATCTGTGAGACTCTTATCTCCAATAAACCACTAGAAAACCGGAAGTGGTGCTGTGGCTCAAGCAATAGAGTACTTTCTTGCCTTGAGCTGAAGAGTGCAGGGATAGTACCTAAGCCCAGAATTCAAGCCCACAACCGACCAAAAAAAAAAAAAAAAAAATAATAAACAGAAAAAAAAAGTGGAGTGCAAGCTAGGTAACTGATGAAAAAAAGAGTCTCTCAGCCTTTCCTGCCTGGGCTGGCTTTGAACCGTGATCCTCAGATCTCAGTCTCCTGAGTAGTTAGTTACAGGAGTGAGCCACCAGCGCCTTGGCTTTTCTTTCTTTTTTTTTTTTTGTAGGTCGTGGGGCTTGAACTCTGGGCCTGGGCGCTGTCCCTCAGCTCTTCAGCTCAAGGCTAGTGCTCTACCACTTGAGCTACAGCGCCACTTCCGGTT